CGAGCCAGTAGTCGCCTGCAGGGTCAAAAGAAGGGGTACGAATTTGGTGCCTTGCTGCTGCGAGTTTGGGGTTTGCTGCAGCACAATTGGAATGTGCTGCTTTTGCATGCAGCCTAAGAGCAGCAAAAGAGGAGTGGGTGTAGGCGCAGAGTCCGCAGTGGTAGTGGCAGGCCGGCGGCGGGCGGCGGGGCGGGCGCCCCGCTGCTGCTGTTGCTGCTGCTGCTGCTGCTGCTGCGGGGGAGGGGGCGGCGGCTGCTGCAGCGGGAGACGCAGCAACAGAAGCAGCAGCAGCAGCAACTCCGCATGGGGAAGGCCCGCACCGACGCTGCCGGGATGGACGGCCTTCTGCAGCCGTGGCACTACTTGCAGCTGCTGCTGCTGCTGCTGCCGCTGCTGCTGCTGGTGCGGTTGCAGTGGGGGAGGAGGGCTGCGAAGCTGCTGCTGCAACAGCAGGGGCTTCTGGCTCTGGAGAGCCGGGTTTGGGTGCGTCTAGAGCTGCTGCTGCTGACTCGGCTTCCGAGGTGCCTGCTTCTGCTGCTGCTGCAGCTGCTGGGGCCTCAGCAGCAGCAGCAGTAGCAGCAGCAGCGTCTCCCGCGCTGCCGCTGCCGTCGTCTGCTTCCTCTGAGTGGTCCTGAAAGCAGCAGCAAACAGAAGCGCATACGCAGCTCGCGCACTCCTAATCCCCCAGCAGCAGACACAGCAGCAAGAGCAGCAGGAGTTTGAGATCCCGCGCTGCAGCAGCAGCAACAGCAGCAACAGCAACAGCTCAAGCTCCCGCACAGCAGCAGCAGCAGCAGGAGCTCGACCTCCCACACAGCGCCCCCAGCAGCAGCAACAGCAGCTCGAGCTCCCCCACACCAGCAGCAGCAGCAGCAGCAGCAGCAGCAGCAGCTCACGAGTCTGCAGGGGAAACAGACGAAGGCGCCCAAGTACCTTCTGCGGCGCCAGTGGAAAGTTGTGTAGTGGGCGAAGTTGCGGAGGTAAAGATTTGGAGCCCAAGCAGCAGGAGAGCAGAGGGGACATTCGAAGCGTTGGCTGCTGCTGCTGCTGCTGCTGCTGCTGCGCTGCAGCAGCAGCTGCGGGGCCCCCACTGCGG